TGGATAAGTGCAAGGTCTTGCACTTGGGGCATAGGAATTGCTGTCATAAGTACAGGTTAGGTGACAAGTGGCTGGAGAGCAGCACTTGTGAAAGGGACCTCGGGGTGCTGGTTGACTGCAGGCTAAACATGAGTCAGCAGTGTGATGCGGTGGTCAAGAGGGTGAACGCCACCCTTGGTTGCATAGCCAGAAGTGTGGCTTCTAGATCGAGAGAGGTATTACTACCACTCTACACGACTCTGGTATGCCTGCAACTGGAGTATTGTACTCAGTTTTGGGCCCCTCGTTTCAGTAAGGATATAGCCAGGCTAGAGTCAGTGCAGCGTAGGGCCACAGGGTTGGTGGCCGGTTTGCAGGGGATGGGGTAGGAGGCGAGACTGAGGGAACTGGGTCTCTTCAGCCTGGAGAAGAGGAGACTCAGAGGGGATATGTTGGCGACATACAGGTATGCGAGGGGATGTCACATGGAGATGGGTAGAGACCTGTTTTCCCCTGCAGAGGAAGGCAGGACACACTCCAATGGAGCAAAGCTCAGGGAACCAAGGTTCCATTTGGATGCCAGGAAGCACTTCCTGACAGTCAGGACCCCAATGGTGTGGAATGGGCTTCCATGAGAGGTCGTTGAGGCCGCATCGGTGAGGGTGTTCAAGGATAGGCTGGACGTCCACATGATGGGCATGTCGTGAGCGGCGCCGGCTGGAGCCGGAGGTCAGACTAGATGGCCTGGGAGACCCCTTCTGACTCACTCTGTTTCTATGTTTCTATTGGATGCTTCAGTAAGGTTCGTCTAAATCAGCTAACTGATGGAGGTGTGTTACTTTCAATACTTTGCTTACCCACATGCTTTGGCAGTGCCCAGAGGCTGCTTTTTTTGGATGCAGGTTAGAATGTGACTAAACTTATTATTAGAATACAATTTAATACTTATTGATGCACAGATTCCTTTGAAATATTTAGGGTGTCATCCAATGTGACTGACTGTAGACTTCCAATTCAGACCCACAGTGGAAAGCAGAAGTGCAGAGGCACGGATTTGGATGCCTGTTTATGGCTGCCTAAGTGTTTTACCCCTGATTGTGAGGAGGAAGGACTGAGGTACCACTGAGATTCCTTGTTCTCTGGTGGGGCCCCTTTTCTTCCCTCCTCATCCTCTGGAGCATGTCCCCACTCCATCTCCAAACTTGCACTTGTAAACATGTAGCAACAGCTGGCACAGGCTGCAAGTGTAGAGGGAGGGTGCTTTGAATTTGGAGATGAACTCAGACCTTGGACTGCTCATCTAAAGTTGGAGCTCTGAATTTCCCTGGGGCTGGCCAGACTGTTTAGCAGCCATAGGACTTTGCCCTTACTTGCTATAGGAAATTATCACAGAGACAACCTGATTGGATTTTCCATGCCCCTTTGATTGTTAAAAGACTGCTATAACAACCCTGGAAAAGTAACTTGTTCCTTCCTATAACACATTGGATTGAGCACTCAACAATGCTTTTACTATTTGTATGGGTGCTATTTAGATGCCAGATTGGAAAAAAGGGGATATTTGGATATTTTCTGTTTCTATTATTATTATTATTATTATTATTATTATTATTATTATTACATTTCTATGCCACCCCTTGCCGAAGCCTCGGGGCGGCTTACAACACAATAAAATACATTGAAATACAATAGAACATAATAAATTACCATTAAATACAAAAATACAAAAAATACACTGAGTTTCAAACATAATAATATAAAATTAAAAATAACAGTATAAAATAAGTAAATAAATAATATAGGAGGAGAAAAGAGAAGGAAGAAGAAGTTGTCCTGGCCAGATCATATATTTTAACAATTAAAATGATGTTTAAATAAAAAGGTCTTTACCTGGTGCCAAAAAACCAGTAACGATGGTGCCAGGCGGACCTCTTTGGGGAGTGAATTCCATAGGTTGGGCGCCACCACAGAGAAAGCCCTCCTCCGAGTACTTACTCTCCTAATTTCTTTCATGGAGGGTTCCCGGAGAAGGGACTCTCCCGCAGATCTCAAAGGGCGGTCGGGCATATACGGACGTAAGCGCTCGTTCAGGTAGCCAGGACCCAAGCCGTTTAGGGCTTTATAGGTCATAATCAACACCTTGAATTGGGCCCGGGCTTCAATGGGAAGCCAGTGAAGCTGATGGAGGACTGGAGTCATGTGAGCATAACGCCCTGTCCCCGTCAGCAACCTGGCAGCTCTATTTTGCACCAATTGAAGTGTTCTGACTGTCTTCAGGGGAAGCCCCATGTAAAGCGCGTTACAGAAGTCTAGGCGGGAAGTCACCAGCGCGTGTGTCACCGTCGCCAGGCAGCCGTACTCCAGGTAGGGGCGCAGCTGATTAATCAGCCGAAGCTGAAGGAAGGTGCTCCTGGCCACCGCTGTCACCTGAGCTTCCAAAGAAAGCTCCGGGTTGAGGAGTACTCCTAAGCTGCGGACCTTGTCCCTAAGAGGGAGTGTTGCACTATTCAGGACCAGGTCAAATCCACCCTCTCCGAAACCCGATCCGCCAACCAACAGGACCTCCGTCTTGTCTAGATTGAGTTTCAGTTTATTGGCCCTCATCCATTCCATTACCTCGGCCAAGCACCGGTTCAGCACAGCCACTGCCTCACCTGGATTAGTGGAAAGCGAGAGGTAGAGCTGGGTATCATCAGCGTATTGATGATTCCGCAGCCCACACCTCCTGATGACCTCTCCCAGCGGTTTCATATAGATGTTAAATAGCAGAGGGGATAGAATGGAGCCCTGTGGTACTCCATGGCATAGCTGCCATGGCGCAGAGACATGGTCCCCCAGCACAACCTTCTGGAATCGACCGTTGAGATAGGAGCGGAACCACTGCAAAGCAGTGCCTCCAACTCCCAATCCCGCTAGCCTATCCCGAAGGATACCATGGTCGATGGTATCGAAAGCCGCCGAGAGGTCCAGAAGAACCAACAGGGATGTACTCCCCCTGTCCTTCTCCCTGCACAGGTCATCGTACAGGGCGACCAAGGCAGATTCAGTACTGTACCCAGGTCTGAAGCCGGACTGAAAAGGATCCAGATAATCAGTTTCATCCAAGAGTGCTTGGAGTTGTCCCGCCACCACTCGCTCCAACACCTTGCCCAGAAACGGGATGTTGGCCACAGGTCTATAGTTAGTGGCCATCTCTGGATCCAGTGACGCTTTCTTCAGGACCGGTCGTATTACCGCCTCCTTTAAAGGGGCAGGCACTCGACCCTCCCTCAGAGAAGCGTTAACCACTTCCAAGATCCAGGACCCAATCCCGTACTTGGAGTTATGTATTAACCAAGACGGGCAAGGATCCAATAGGCAAGTGGTGGGACGTACTCGTCCAAGCACCTTGTCCACATCATTGGGCCGCAATAATTGAAATTCCTCCAATAATTTTGGACCAGACAGTAGCATTGGCGTCTCCCCAGAGACCTCTGATTCATTAGTGGAGTCCAGCTCGTGACGAATCTGAGCGATTTTCTCCCTGAAATGCCTGGCAAAGTCGTCACAGCGGGCCTTTGAGGGTGGCATCGGATCTTCCTTAGGACCCGGGCGAACCAGGCCTTGCACCACTCGAAAAGCTCCGCCGGACGGCATTGTGAGGAGGCAATGGAAGCGGAAAAAAACTTCTTTTTCGCTGCCTTCACCGCCACAGCATAGCTGTATGTTTACATACTTATGACTATACATTACATACAAGAAGTTATTTGTATTGTATTATTATTTCTACGGCTTCCTTCATTTTGGTGAATTTCACATTAGACATTAATTTTAAAAATTGTAGGTTACACATGCCTCTCTCTTGTGCCTTTTACAACTAGTAGTCCTGCTGCTTTTTCCCCAGGGATCACTTTAGCTGCTCACTTCTACTCTAGGCTGTTGGGTGTGTAGGGGGTTGGGGTGGGGGGTGGTATTGTGTGTGTCTGTGTTTTGCTTTTGAACACTTGTTAGGGAATTCCAACTGCAGTTTGTGAAGGTGCTCCTGATTTTTCCAACAGGTAAATTATATTTGGACTTGGAAGTAATCATTGTAATTGCTTTCCAGTTTTAATGCTATGTGCTAGGGCAGAAGTCAGTACATGCAGAACTGGCTGAAGTCATGTTACAACTCAGCCTTGCAGTAAAGCCCTGAAAGTTATTTGCACACAAAAGGCTTGCTTACTACTATATACCTGTGTAAGTACTAAAGAAAATAGTGCTTTCCTCAGCTTTACAAAAGCTTCTTTGTCTGGACAAATTTTAATCTCCACAGTCAGCCAGTCACTGGGCCTGAGTGACTTTAAAATTGTGGCTTGAAGCACTTGCTGGTTTTTAAAAAGAAAAAAAAGGGATTGTTTGGAAAAGTACTCATTCTTCCTTCTTGTAAACCACATCTGCTTCTGGGCATAGGCCAATACCCTTTTGTTTTAGAGGATAGAATGGTTGGTGTGGTGTGATTCATGTTTTAAATATGTAGACGTTCTCTACTATTTTTAGGCACAATCCTGTTGTCAGCTGAGATGATGGCCACCACCACACTTTGTTTGTGCATTGGATGCTCTTAAGCTCCTGAATCTGGAGACTTACATGCATCAAAGGAGGAAAGCATCGGCTCTGCTCTCGAATGCTTACCTATTGCAAGGTCCTAGCAGTAACATTGCATTGATGACATGTCTAGAAGTACATGTATAATTTTTTCCTTTTCTTATAGAGGAAGTGACCCGTGATTTTGCCTATGGGGAAACTGATCATTTAATTAGGAAGTGTCGACTATTGCCGTGGCAACCCAGTGAGGTTCTTGATATTAATTATTTCACCACTGAGCCATCAGATGATCACTACCAGGTACAATACTTATTTTCCACCATATTTTAAAATTGGATTATGATTATTATTTTGCATTCATATCCTGCCTTCTTTTTTCTTATGAAGAACCCAGGGCAGCTTACATAGCTCCATTTGATTGCAGCAACAACCCTGTGAGGTAGGCTAAGCTGAGAGTAAGTGCCTGGCCCAAAGCTACCTGTTGAGCTTCATGGCCATGTGAAGACTAGAACTGGATCTCCAGGTCTCCAGTCCCAATACACTCACCACCTCACCAGAGCCTAACTCATTTTCTAACCATATTTAAGAGACAGAGAGGGATCTTGCTGTCAGGGTCCCATTGCCCCCCTTCTCTGAAGAGCATTAACTGAAATGAAGCATTACGTTGGCACCAGTGTGGATCTGTATTAGATGCTTGCCAGGATTCATCCTGGTGATCCTGCACCACCGTGTTTTTCTGAGGGTTAAAAAAAGGGAGAGATTTGTTACCATTTATTGATATTTGTAGAGCTATTTTTATAACGTTTGATTGTGTATCTGTGTTTTGAAAGTATTTAGTAGATTGCTGTTTGAATTGTCTGGCCTTCTGTAAATTGTACTTTCCCTTGTGCTGTGAAAGTGTATGAAGTCGTTTTTTAAAGCAAAAACAGCAGCAAAATCTTCTGTGTTCATAGAAAACTAACACATGATAATTTCTGGCTTTGCACTCTTCTCTCTTGTGCTAGCTTTCCGCAGGGAAGGTGATTTTAAGATGGCAGAGTATGTGCAATTTCCCTACCTGAAGTGGCACACTCCTAGAGCCTGGCTCTAATGTGATTTTTGCTATAATGGCTGCTAAATGTTCAGCACTTTAAACTACACAGCTCTGGCATCTCCATACTCCCTAGGGCAAATCTACTTCAGATTAGGAGCCTTGTAAACAGCTTGTACAGAGCAGTTTGTTGCCTGTTCCTAGCCTCTTTCATCTTTCTGTAAATTAAATTGTTTTACATCAGATAAGCACCAGCTGATTGATCTTACAGTTTTGAAATAATTCTATCAGAAATGGGAGAATTCTCTGGAAGCTTCTTTGACAGCTTTCTCAGAAAGCTATGCAATCCAAACTTGAAGTTGAATAATCCAAAGCAAGGATGTTTTAAGTGAGTGGCCTTTTTGACAGTGTGATGGAGCTGAAACAGCTGGATTGAAAGAGACTAGATATAGTTAAACAAGGAAAGTACAAAGTGTGCTGTCAGAATTGATCCCTTCCCAGAGGAAATGTGTTTGCCGGATTTTAGGCTTTGATTGGATTACTTAGAGTAGTCCCTGTTGAAATCTATTGAGCACACACGGAATTGGGTAGCAAAACCAAAGTGCTTGAATGAAACTAGCGGTGGGAAAGGAAATGGGCCCTTTCTCCTCTCTTTCTGCCACCCTCAGTTTCTTTCCAGACAGATGGGGATGGACTGCTCTTGCAGCAGGTCCTAACAGATCACTTGCAAAGGGCCATATAAAATTAGGGGAAGGAGCACATTTGATCCTACAACTGTGGGCTGACCTCCTGCAAAGTAACCTGATCTGTGTATACATATGCAAATATCCATAACACTAATGGAGTTGTGTGTGTTTTTTTAGGCAATCTTAAATGAAAATAAGGAGAAACTGCCTGTTTCCATAAAGCTTCCTGTTTATGACAAGAATAAAATCTTCAAGTAGGTATTTCCAAATCTAATTGCTTTACAGAAAAAAAAAATCTTATGCAGTAGTTTTTCAACAGTTAAAGGCTCATCCATCCCAGGAGTGGCAGACCTCCAATTACTGTATTCTTCAAGATAGAGCCTGGATTCTGATTCCTATCCATACGTAGCTTTGTCATGGACAGTACAGTGAGATATTTTATTCATATGTGTAGCTATTAAAAGTTGTTTTAGTTTGCCCTTCATGTTAAGATACTGGGGCAGTCAACAAAAAACATAAGCACATAAATATGCTACAAATATACAATGAAAACATAACATGCTAACTGCACATCAGAAGTATAAAAAGCTGAGCAAACCTAATCTCAAAACAACATCACACGTTAAAAGAGCAGGGCAAATAAGGAAGGTTTAACTTGGTGCTGAAATGATAGCAGCATTGGCATGGGTAAACCTTTGGTTGGGCAGGCATTCCAATGATAGGTGGCCCATGCAGAAAAGGCTGCTGGGCAGCAAGTGTTCCCTACAAAAACACCTGGAGAATAGCTGCTTCCTGATGATCTTAAGGTGTGAACAGCTTGGCAATCATTGTTTTGCCTAACATCTAGCCTGAAGAAGTCTCGGGGAGATCTCAGTCTTGTAGCACTTTGGTTGGTTCCAGTAACTACAATTCCTGATTGGATTTTTCATCCAAGTAGGGTAATGGTAGTCTATTTAATGCACACTTTACTGTACAGGTTTTAAAAAAGAGACTAAACTGCAAAAACAAATTGGACCTCTCTTAATGATACATCCATTAAATACCTGCAAGGACAGCTCCTTTTTCATTTTAATAGAAATGAGAGCTTAGGTTGGTTGTTTTAATACATGTCTGCAATTTAGTGGCTAGACACTGAAAATGTAGGTTCCATCCACTGTAGATGGTAAACTATGCCATGATTCTAATGGATGGAAGTCTGCATTTCAGATGTTTATGGGAGGGTTGGTTTCCACTAGGCAATCCTTCTTTGGCTTTTAGAGTATCCTGTTAGACAAGGGATCAACAACTTTTGTCTTTGGTATGAAGATTTACTTGTTGGGTATTTTTAGGGCAGCAACTTAGGTTTGTTCAGCAGGCTTTTTTAAAGGAAAAAGGTATATGTTTGAAAGCAGCTACTTCTGAATCCATGGAAGAAGCATTCTTCCATGCCCCAACACTTGTGGGTGAGTTTTTCCTCCAATAAAGACAAGTCCATCAGGGCCCAAGATGCACATTGCCTTTTCCTTTAGAATTATTGGTTTTGCTGTTCAATCAAGCAGTTAGCTGAATAAAACCCATGCAATTAAGTGGCTAATATTTATTTGAAATGTGGCCCTTAGTTTTTCATTTGTACTAGGAGTAAGAAATGCTTTCAGTATTTGAAGACTGTTAAAAAGGCAGGCAGTCCCCACATGGAAGTGAAGTAGGAATTTGAACACAACAATGATTGCAATATATTAACAGTGGTTCATATATTGGGAAAGAAATAAAAGCTACAGTTGCCCTAAGTCTTTTGGGAATGCATTGCTGACATTATGAGATTATCCTGCCTCTTACCTTATCAAGCACACATACTTATCTTATATAAGTGTATGTATTGTTTAAAGGATTCCGTTGTGTCTTTAACTGATGAAGCTTCTTTACTATTTGATTTTGATAGTGAGGTAGGATGGCATATGGATTTGTTAATAAATAATAAGTTTATTTATTAAATACATTGTACAGTATATGGATTGGAGAGTGGGAATTCCTGTGGTGTCCACAAGTGTTGAATTCCCAGGCAAATTATTCCTCCTAGTAACTTCAAGCTGTTCTGTTACATCTCCAAATGTTTCTCTTGAGAATCTCTCTTATTATGTGCCTTACTTATTTCCAGAGTTTACACAGACCTCCAACAAGTGCTGCAGAATTTGACTCACTCCCGCTTTGAATTTACGAACTCTGAGCAAGAGGCAGATATCCTGTACAACTTCTCTCACTTCAAAGATTACAGGTTACACAGCTATTTCCCTGCAAGTAACAATTTTTCTTACCTGTTCAATATGCATATATTTGGCAATGGAGCTCTTTTTTTAAGCACTTTCCTCCTTTTCTAGGAAACTAAGTGAAGAAAGGCCTCATGTGATGTTGAATCAATTTCCTTGTGAGAATCTCTTGACCGTGAAGGATTGTCTGGCATCAATCTCAAGGCGTGTTGGAGGCTCAGAAGGACCAAAATGGTTGCCTCGTACCTTTAATCTTCACACAGAATTGCCACAGTTCATCAGTTTCTTTCAGCAGCGTGAAAGAAGGTGAATAGATGACAAAATAAGCTTGCAACTTTAGCTTCTGCTGTTGCTGCTTGTCAAATAGTTCTAACAGCTGTCACTCTCAGTCTCAGCTACCTTACAAGATTGTTGTGAGGATGAAATGACGCTATGTAAAATGGGAGTTGCATGGGCTCTGCATGTGCTGTAGCTTTTCATGGTTTAAATAACTCACCATGACTTGCCATGTTGTACAGGTTGGGTCACTGTAGGGTGGAGAAAGTGATTTTGAGTAACAAGGATCTCCTAAGCATGGAAGGCAGGGCTACATGCTTTCAACCTGTGTTTCACTGGTTTGGTTCAGTGAAAACCAGATCTGTGAAACACATGACAGGACAACCCAAGTTATAGGCTGAGTGATGTTAAATCATGGATTTTTGTCTGATCATGGGTGTTGTTGGATCATGGGTGGTCATTGCATGTGAACTCTGTGATGTGATTTAACATTGATCTGTTTGGACATAATCCATCAGGTTAAAAATGGATGGGTTTTTGAAAATGTTTGTTGGGTTTTCAGGTAAGTGATTTTGACCCAGTCCTGGACGGAGTTGCACTCCCTCTAAAGGACAGGGTCCGCAGCTTAGGAGTGCTCCTTGACCCAGAGCTGTCCCTGGAGGCCCAGGTGGCAACTGTGGTGAGGAGCACTTTCCTTCAGCTTTGGCTGATCCATCAGCTGCATCCTTACCTGGACAAGCACTGCCTAGCAACAGTGACATATGCTCTGGTAATGTCCTGGTTGGATTATTGCAATGCGCTCTACATGGGGCTGCCCTTGAAAACAGTCTGGATACTTCAATTGGTCCAAAGCAGAGCTTCCAGATTGCTGACAGGGACCGGTCGTTATTTTCATATAACGCCAGTCCTCTGCCAGCTTCACTGGCTACCAATTGAAGTCTGGGACCAATTTAAGGTGCTAATGTTAACCTATAAAGTTCTATATGGCTTGGGACCAGGATACCTGAAGGAACATCTCCTTCCCTATATGCCCTTGAACCATTAAGATTTGTAGGAGAGGCTCTGCTCCGGGAACCCTTCCTGAAGGAGGTAAAGAAGGTTTCTACCCAGAGGAGGGTCTTCTCTGCTGTGGTGCCCAGACTCTGGAATGTGATCCCCAGAGAGGTTTGCCTGGCGCCGACTTTGTTTTGGTGCCAGGTGAAAGCCTTTTTATTTGCCCGTTATTTTAAGGACTAGGAATTTTAATTGGCTTTTAATACCCACAGTCACATTTTGTTTTTGATTTTGCTCTTGACTTTGTTCTTGTTGTTAATAAGTTCCTGTTGGTTTTATGCACATTGTTAATTGTTGTAAATTGCTGTTTTGTTTATTGATTGTTTTGGTTTTGTATGGGGGACTGAGTGCCTTCTGCTTAACCAGTAATCAGCTGAACAAAGCATAATTGGCTGATGCTGAGTGAGATGTCTGTACCCTGACAGCTGCGTTGTTCAGAGGCTAAACAAACAATCAATTGGTTCTTAACCATGAACAACCCAGGAAAAGAAGCTGCAGTTTATTGTTGGGCTGTAAATTGTGGGTTGTTTGTGCTTATCAATCCATAATTAAAACATAGTGCAGGATTCATGCATAATGACAGTCTGTGATTCAGCAACACCACATGCCTTTACATGCAGACCAGGTCGCAGCTTTACCAGCTAAAGCTTTAGTTGGTTAATTGACACAAGTCCATTTGAATGGCTGAAACTGACAGGTAAGGACATCTTTTTGTTTGTGTATTCACATTCTTTCAATATGTAAAAAAAGTGCGCACTTCAAGGCAGCCTTCTGCAACCTGGTGCCCACTGGAGAGTTTGGGTGTCAACTCTCATTACCCCCAGCAAGTATGGCAAGTCATCAGAAGTATGAAACAATTGGAGGGCAGCAGCTGGGGAGGGCTGCCTTGAAGCTTTGGCAATACGTAGATGAAGTGAAATTCAGCCAAGGCAAAGGCCAAAATGGACAGTTGATTTAATAGGTTTGTTGTCAGGTACATGGTGCCTTCCTTTGAAGGACCACAAGGTGGCCTCCTCTTTCTTTTATCCCTGCCACAATCCTGAGAGTGAGTGACTGGCCCGAACTCGCCCAGTGAGCTTTGGGACTGAGGAGGGACTTGAACTTGGGGCCTCCAGGTCTGCATCCTGCACTGTAACCATGGCACCACATTGATTGGCAACTTAGTGTTAGCCAATACTAACACTTGGGGGTGGAGAGGCCTGCATGAGTCATAGCCCCCACAGCTTACCAGTGATGTCTTTAGGCATTGCATGGGGCTCTGTAAATCTCCTTTTTCTGTGATCCTGTGCAGGTCTTTGGGCAGCCTTGATCAAGTTGTGTGTTATGTCTTATGCTGGGCACCATACATCTCTTGACCAAACTAGAAAAGTAGAGAGTTAAATGCAGCCAGCATGTGGTCTGGTGGGGCCATAGGTTGTGCAAACTGATATAAAGCAGCCCTGGTTAGGAGTGAGTGCATGCACTGAAACATAAATGGACACTCACATGTCTTTCCTTCTTTGCATGCTTCTTTAGAGGGGAAGACAACCACTGGATATGCAAACCGTGGAACTTGGCCAGGAGCCTGGACACTCACATCACCAAGAGCCTTCACAACATCATCAGGCAGCGAGAGAGCATCCCTAAGGTCGGAGCAGTTTGAAACTCTTGTAAATGTGGCTTTTTACTTTTTGGAAGAAATTAGGGCAGCTTGTGTTTTTTTCCTTTCTTTAGAAAGCTGTTACGCATCTTTGCTGCTGTATGAGGTTTTTTGTTGCTGGACTTAGACCTTAGATTGCAATGGTCAAAGTACTTTTCTAACAGCGCTTTTCAGGCTGTGTCTCTGTGCACTTAAGCACCATAATATAATTTGGTACAGCAGTTACTAGTTATCTTAATCAACTCACTGATTTGCTGTGAAGCAAAACATCCATGTACAAGAATTTTGTTGTTATTTCTTCCTGAATTAATCATTATATTTTTGGGATCAAATATGTATTTTTGTGATGCAAATCTTTTCCAACTCCAGTAGCAATGTGCATTAACATCTTTTAGTAGACAAGGCCAGCAATGTAACCTTATATTAAATTATTCTCATAATAATATGTTGTGCTAGTTCTATAGGATCAGAATCTAAAAATGACTTTTGAGTCCTAACTAGTTTAAAGTCTAGCATGTTTCTTTGGCCAAGAAGCAGCTTAAAAATAGTGCAAAAATGTAGCAAAAAGTTTCTAAGCTCACTACACGATTCTGGATCTATTTACTGAGAAATGTCACTGGGTTCAGTAGGTGTTAGAGCTAAGTGTGCTAAGATTTGCTTTCTTAGTTTAAGGGAATCAGGGATAGCTAAGAAAGCACACTGAAAATGCAGTCAAAATGGAATAAGGAACTGCCATACCAAATAATAATAAGGAACAGTGAAATCTGTCTGCTCATTATGTTGATTTTATTCTAGTCTTGAAGCTGTGATTGATCCTGTTTGTAACTTGGTCTGTAATGTTGTGGTTTGAATGGTCAGCCCCATTGTACTTTGGATAAGGCGGTTTATACATTTTTAAATCAATATGAATCCATTTTAAGAATTCACCCTAACTCAGCTAATTAGGCATGAGAGTTTTCCTCCAAAGGAAATTGTGTCCTATGGTTGTTCTGATTTAGATGGCAGCTATTGGTAATGTTTACCAATAGAAAGCAATCAACAGAATCAAGGGGTTGTAATTTTTCTTGGACCTTACTATTTCAGGATACATAGGATGGTAAACTCCCCACACCTATCAGAATGTCCTTGCCTATATGGAATGGATATGTTCATGGAAATAGGTTAGCTTAGTTCTTTCCCCTTACCTGCTTTTAAAAGTATGTCTGTGGGCATGGAGAAGCTTTCAAAGGGACAGTCCCATCTCCCCTCCAAAGCCCTTGCAGTTTGCCCTTACTGTGCAAGTCCTTGCCCTTACAGAGCAAGGTTCTAGCCCTCATTAGGTAGGTATGGACAGTTCTGCTCACACTACTTTATGCACTTCATTTTCTTGAATGGAGGAAATAGCAAGGTCATAAAAGAAGGAACAGAATGCAAATTGGTTACAACTGTAAAGAGTAACTAAATACTAGGACTTAATATGCAAATAAAACTTGTTTGAACATTTACACAGGAAGACACCATCTTTTCTAAAGCCATTTATCTCTGAAGAGGAGTTGAAGGGAAAACTTGTATCCAAAATTGCTTTGGGGTGCAGACATTGTGAACAGCAGCTGATAATTGATTGAGGTGTTTCTTTCAGAATTGTTCTTACATTGGGCTTCTTTTTTTTTTTAACACAAGTGGCCTGAAATTGGTCAAAAGGTTAGATACAAATGTTTGAAAAAAACCTCTCTTTCCTCTCATATTGCACTGCATAATTTGCTGCATTTTTCTTTTGTTTCAGGTGGTGTCTAAGTATATTGAGAATCCAGTGTTATTTCATCTTGAAGATGTGGGACTGGTGAAATTTGATATTCGTTATATTGTGCTGTTGCGATCAGTTAAACCGCTCAGGCTATATGTTTATGATGTATTTTGGTTACGATTCTCAAATAGGTAATAAGCAACTACTCAGCACATCTAAAAGATTTGAACTTGTGGGATTTATGAATTTCATGAGAAATTAACGTGGTCTCCTTGCTTTCCCCCCGCTCCTTAAGACCATTTTCACTTGATGACTTGGATGATTATGAGAAGCATTTTACCGTGATGAATTATGCTCCTGGAGTGTCTTTAAAACAGGTGAATATACAGAATATATTATGTACAGAATGTATAAGAACATACCGAAAGCAGAGCAGAATTTGTCTCTGAAGCCCAAAGTACACAGGTCTCTTTTAAAGACCTAGCAAGCAGTACCTTTTCCTTTTTCCTATAGCAAAAGTATGGGGGATGGGCGCTGATCAAAATTGGGTAGGAACCTTTAATCTTCTCTGATATGGCCCAGAATATCTGCCCTGCAATTTATATTGCCCCAAAGTGATCCATTGTTCTTCCCAAGCACAGGCCAAGCAAGTTTTAACATGCATTCATAAAAGGTCTCAAGGACACCACTAGAAGTAGCCCTGTAATTGATTAGGGAGAGGGAGCTTGGTAGAAGATGGTGTTGAGTCAGGGACAGCCCACTAAAATAGATGGGTGCTGATTGGATTTGTGTTTCTGAGCTGTCTGTCGTTGAAAATCTAGGCTGTCCTTAACATGGCTCTCATAGATTTTAAGAGCATGAGATGATGTGCGGGGAGAATCTTACATATATTGGCCTAAAGAATGGAGGACTGCTGTAAGGAAGGCAGAGGTGAAAAGTATAAAGCATATGGAACTCTAAGAAGGGATACATATTAATCAAATTGTGTCTTATTTTCAGATCCACTGTGACGAATTTATCCCTCTCTTTGAGAAGCAGTATCCTGAGTATTCTTGGAAAGCTGTTGAAGTAAGTTACTTACAGTGACAGTAAGTTTAGTTGTTTCATTTTCACTTTTTGGCAATAAATACAATCATAAAAGTTTCAGTTTGTGGCTCATTTTCACAATCATCTCCCACAGGTAATACTCCATAAATTGAGCCACACTTCTTGTTCACACAGTTACACTAATAATACTCATCAGGATGGGTTTCACTTTTAGTTGCTTGTCACAGTGGTTTTCATTTTACACAGTGCACACACACAAAAGGTAGTTGCAGCTAGCACATCCTTCATGCCTGCATCACTGTCGTTTATAATCATCACCTCCGTTCAAATGCTTTTGCCACTCCTGAACATTTTTATGTGGCGGAAGGAAAGCTATTGTAGCTCAGCCCTAGAAATTAACTTTGTGTGCAGAGAGCCTGAGTTTAATCAGCCCCCTCTCTAATTCCAAGGACCTTGGCCTGAAGCTTTGGAGATCATCTGCCAGTCTGGATAGTGCCCTATCTAGACATCTGATTGTCTTGGTACAAGACATCTTATCAGCTGTTTCAAAGGTGATGAGCAGGCAAAATCTATGTAATAGGCTAGGGATTTTTCCTTGTGTGTTTATTGGAATGAAGTCATGAGGATAGTAAAATGAGACCTATTTCATGTAGCCTTGGGCAGGGACAGTGTTTAGTTTCCTCTCTGAACTTTGTCCATTGAAAGTTGCCCTCTCTGCTTCAACCATGCTCCACCATCTAAAAAGCAAAGCAATGCTCAGGAACCTGGACTAGTAGCATTTGCATTTCTGCTAAATGTGCCCTTTTTTGTCATTAGGAAGATATTTTTAAGGCATTTGTTGAATTACTCCAAGCTGCTTGTGCCAAGCCTGCACCACTTGGCATCTGCGACTATCCATCCTCCCGGGCCATGTATGCCATTGACTTGATGCTTAAGTGGAGTACATCCAGTGATGGTAAGTGCTTCTTTTTTATCACTTAAAGTTTTAGAAACAAAGGCATTTTAATTCCTTTTAATAGTAGCCATGTAAGTGTTGTGCACCTAATGAAAAATACTTTCCCCTTTTTCCTGCATTCACTGAGATCCAAGGGCTGCTTCCTACAGCTATGGCCTTCCTGCCCGCTCCCCCCACCCCCGATACATGCTCACACACAAAGCCACCTTTGAAGGTTGCCTCTCAAATGGCATCTGGTATTCCAGGGATGGTACAGCAGGAAGGAGGAATTGGGGGCCTCTCCTTGGATTCCACCCATAGTCCTAAGTCCATAAAGGAAAGTTATTGCAAGTTTCAGAATACTCTTTCTTTAACCTTAACTGTGCATAACAGAAGTAAATGTGTTAACGTGTTGGCAGGAACATGTGGCTGTTGGAAAGGAGGAGCTTCTTATAGCCCTGGTGAAGAAAGTAAGCGTTGGCTGCAGGTTCATGGGCTTCCTCTGCCTGGCCCCTCCTTTCTGGGTTACCTCTGTCATCTTAGCCACCTTGACTGCAGTTAGGCACTTGCTGTTTTCCAAAACTGAATCTGAGCTGGGAAGTTCCTGTCTGCAGCTGTACCACAGCCAGGAATTTCCAATATGGTTTTAGGCAGCCCTCTTTTTCTTAACCTGAGCAGCTTCCCTATTTTGGGAAGCCATAATAAAGGTTGCCAGCAGTCTCTGAGCAGTCATACGTTTGTAACATACACAGAAATGTGGTCATAAGGATTAGAACTGAACATGTGTAAGTCAGATTTTAGCTCTGAACTGCAGGGACCTATTCAGCTTTGGATCGCTGGATGGCCTAGCCTGGTGCAGAGAGCCATACAGCTTCTTCCTATAGGAATTACAAGCCTCCCCATCAAATAACATTATCTGTCTTCTAGGGAAACCATACATGCAGCCTCAGCTGCTGGAGGTGAATTTCAACCCTGACTGTGACCGAGCCTGCAAATACCACCCAGCCTTCTTCAACGACATCTTCAGCACCCTCTTCTTGGATGAGCCCGAGGAGTGCCACGTGACTTGCATTGTGTAGCTCCACCTGGCTTCACCCGGCTAATGTGTGCTTCTCATTTATATACGTATATTTATATTTCAGTTCTTTGAGCTGCTTTTGCAAGAATATTTCTTACTGGTAAAAAAGATAATGCCCTATTCTGTCAGATGGAATATGTGTATGGTGTACTTGTAAGCAGTTGTCTGCTTTTTTTAAAACTGGTCTTGCCTGTTGATACTTTATCACCAGCTTTCCCTCCCCCTTACCCCCACTTGTATACTAAAGATTATGGAAGTGCAGTGACAGCTTCTTTTGTTTCTTGTACTTGCTTTCAATGAAGCTTTTCATAGCCTGCTTTATGATTTACTGCATTTAGTTGAGGCCATGTTTATCTTAATATGGCTGTCTCTGCCTTTTAATTTGGAAAAGTATAACATTTTATTTCAAGGATGCAGCAGGCTTGTGACCATATGATTTCCAGTTTTGATTATAATAAATAATGTCGCAGCAAAAACTTATTTTTATTTTTTATATTTATAAGGTAAAATATAATAAAATCCCAAACAGGTCTGTAAGCAGATACCAGAAACTGCCTGTGGAAAAGTAGATGGTAGTCTCAAGGTCTTCACACTTCAAATTCTAGTCCCCACATTAAAACAAAAACAAAAAAGGCAAAATCAAGTGCCACATGTACATTTATCTCATCCTTGTCCTTTGTTTTCTTAATGTGCTATTAAAATGACAGTTATTTGCAACTTATGACAGTTGCAAACAGTTGTTCTGGTGCATAGGGTAGTTTCTGGCATCACAAGCTTCAGCTAATAGGATTCCCTCTGCAGGGAGTGATTACCCATGCAACACCCATCCTGTCCTTTGTAAGAATTCATCCTGTATGTCTTTTTACAAAGCAGTTAAAACTGCTGCTGCTGTTCCTTCAGCTTGTGTCAATTGGGGATGAAGGCCAGCTCAAAAGCCCTAATACTAAAAAAAAAAACACTTTCCTGCTGTTTGCTTTCTGGTAATATTTTTTTTTAAAGGCTCAATGATCTAAATCACTTTTGTGTTGAACCTAAATGGCATTGTTGTCTCAGTGCTTCTGATAGTTTCCCTTTCAAAAGTAGAAACCATCAGTTGATTTTCCTAACATTAAAGAACTATGCTGAAGGCTATTGGAAGATTGTTGCAGAGCAGCCATGGGGTCTGCATTTCAATGCAAAGTCAAGCCATCATGGTTTGATGTGCGTAGCTTTGCTGGGCAACACCAAAGGGAGAGGAGCTTGGACTGAGTCTGGCATCTGGACAGCTTCAGGAGTCAGATTGAGCAATGCCAAAATAGAACCTGAAACATGCCAGGGCTCTGTGTACAGCATAAATCATACACATTAGCATAATTTACTTTGCATGTTTCCATTATGTGTCCATCTAATGTCATTAATATGTATGGAGAAATTGTGTTTCTGTTCAGTTTGCACACACTCTGGCTCAAATGTAGATGATGATGAGGCCTGAGAGGGTGTCCGAAAGCCTTTATGATCATAGAGGGTTTTAAGAAAGGTGACCTTGTGGATGTGTTTTGGGACAGAATGACAGGACTGTAAGGGAGATCCTGGTTATGTAAGGAAGGAGGAGACCTTACGGTAGCTGGGCTTGGTGGGGCAGAAGGAATTGAAGGTCTTTGGTGAAGGAGCTTTACAGGACAGAGTGCCAGTGTGGCATAGTGGCCAGAGTGTTGAACTAGAGATCTGGGAGCTCCAGGTTCTAGTCTCAACTTGGTCATGGAGCTCACTGGATAAGCCAGTCACAGCCTCTCAGCCTAATCTATGAATCTGGGTGATTGTTGTGTGAAGGAGGATTATGTAAACCACCTTGAGTTGAATGGTGTGATATAAATATAATAAATAAATACTTGAGGTACGAAACTATGTCATGGAAGCAAAGCTGCAGAGGCTTTGAGGAATAAAAGGAGTTTGTGCCTTGATGCCGTAGTAGAGAGGACAACAGAGCTTGGGCTTTAAGATACGTGTTGCCTGATTTTGTTCCCAGGGAAGGTGCAATGATTAAGGCCAGAGTGGACATGGGTGCCTTAATCAAGGAAGGAGATGATTAAAAGTTTTATTATTTTGCGATCATTCTGCATCTGCTAATCATGAGGTATCTGAGGTGACATGTAAGGGGAGAGCTTCCTGCCCATTGTTCAGTAATTACCCTGAACATCTTAACACTGTTCCACCACTCTCAAGCATATCTCCTTAACAGTAAGGTCTAGAAATTTGCTTTTAAAAAGCAACAACAAAAAAGAGCTGAGAGTCCTAGGATACTGAAGGCTTAAAGCCTTAAGGCTTAGTTGTATTAGAAGCTTTATGCTAAAATATGCTGATTTTTTTTACACTTATCCTTTTCGACTTCAGGCCCGCCTGCCACAGAAATAGGAATTTGGCCTTCAAAAGGCTTGTTTGGCACCTCTGCACCATTGTCCTATGAAGTTGCTTTTAAAAGGTCAAATAGGATTTAATTGTCCATTTTGTCTTTGCCAGCTAAGGTGCCATGAGATCTCTCTGTAGAGCCAGTTAGACTTGTACTTCTTGTTCAGCATGATTCTTCCACTCTCCCAGCTAGGTGGTGACCATTTATTCTAAATGTCAGCAAATCCCATCAGAGTGGAGCAGCCCAGCTTAGTCTTTAAGCATAGTCAGCTTAGTTTCAAGGCTATGCTTAAAGAGGCAGATATAATCATACTGTTTTCAAGACATAAAAGGAAAGTGTTCAGATCTCTGGTGGGGGGGGGCGCTCAGTGGGAGAACTGCAAGGCACTGTGCTGAATCCCAAGAATGGTAAGGCTTTTCCTATAACACAGTTGTTTGGGCTGTTTGCAGATCTAAACTCGAATACAGAAGGCTGCATGCAAGCAATGGGGAAACTACCTCAGAATGTTTTCTAATGGAGCCATTTCATAAATCCAGACGTGAACTGCCTTATGATGAACAGTCCGCCTCACACATACATGCCACTATTTACTTAGAGATCACACAGCTTCACACACATTGTTCATAGTCTTCCTGAACTTTATTTCAGTTAAAACTAGTTAACCTGTTTGTTTGCATAGTAATATAACATCTTTTACAATTGCCTGAGACAGAAAATGGATTTAAGTAATGGAATGGTGAAACTGCAATTAGACTCTCTCTCCTCTCCCTCCCTCCCTCCCTCCCTCTCTCTCTGTCTCTGGCATTACCAAGAGTTGCTTTAGAAAAATTAGTACGTATTATGAGTGCTTCTTCCTGGGGTTGTCCTTCCAGATGCGGTAGTTGAGCACTGTGGCGAAGGTTAGCCAAGCCAAATAAGGATACATCAAATAGGCGGCTGTTTTGTTCACATGATACCAGACTGCTGTTGTCGCTGTTGTTGCTCCTGTGGTAAGCAACAAAATGGCCAATCCCTGAAACAAAGTGCTCAGATTAAAGGCGGCTTTGGTTGAATAGCAGAGGAGGTGTTTCTCATCTCCTGCAGGTTGCTAAAACAGGCAGAAATGGGCCTGCTTCCCCAGAGCTCAGCTGCACAACTGGATAGCCCTCCCTTAGGCTGAGTAACGGACCATAACAAAGGATGTGACCACCCATCACATTCCAGTGAGTAAGGCCTCCACCAGAAATGCAAGAGCAGTTCAGTGACCCCAAATAAACCACGGCTTCTGGACACTTACTATCCACCTGTTCGGCACGATGGGAAGCAGTAACCCGGGTGCAATGTTCAATTAAGAGCCAATTGCACAAAACTGGATGAAAGATTTAGCAGTTTGGACTTTACAATAACAGCCCCATACTATAAATACCTTAGGACTAGACTGAACAGACGGACTAGTTCAGATAAACCATCCTCTCTGTCACCCTACTAAGCCAGCATTGAAATTGAAATGCGTTAGAAAAACTGGTAACCAGTTTGAAAAGGTGGTTCTGAAATCTAATTTTACACAGAAGTCTTGAAAAGGGTTCTGCCTCTCAAATGTCTCTGGCATAGGAGCAGTCAAGAGAAATTCCTGGAGGGAAAATAGTTTCAGAAGGGAGGGGAAAGGTAAAGAGATTAGTATTTTGCCTGCAGCCTGCATTTACCTTGATCCAAAATAATGATCAAATGAGAACAAAGGAAAAAGAAAACCCCTAACCTGTGAAATTCCTAAGACGTTATAAAAGCAAGAGGCTGCCATTGTTAATGGAACATCTGGCTAGTTCATGTGATGGTAACTACCCCCTTTTGTCACTTATCTGTACAATGGAGATAAATGGCACTTCAGAAAAAGGAAGGTCCATTTCACTAGCATGGCTGATAGCATCCTGCTTGCACTTGTTTTAAGAGTCAAACAACATGATACCAGTTGTACATCATGTACCTAAGACTTGGCTTTTGTGTAAGTTCTTGTGACCCTGATTTGGATTTGTGCCACTATGTTTCAGTAGGGGAGAATTAACCTCCCCTCCTGACCATTTGTTTTCCCCAGATCCTCCCTGCTATTGCCACTTTTCAGGGAGATTATTAAAACAACAATATTCCACCAACAAGGTGGAATACAGGGTCTTTTCTTGGGTTAACACCACCACCATCGCCAAATGTGGTGTGGATCTCAGGAAACAAACTGGGAAGGCAAGAGCTAAACAGCCTTTCCTGAAGCATGGTGGTCCTGATCCAACACAGGGTTGTGTATGCTTTTACTAGAGTAAAACGAAAACAAACCTCAGCTAGACACTACTGACAGCAACCAACACTCCCAGTCAGTTTAAGCTACTGAAGTACCAGTACTAGCGTGAAGTGACCTCTAGTACTACTCCTGCAAGCACGTAAGCCACATTTTCCCAGAAAAGCCTGATCCTTCCAGCTTTTTCTATTTGCATATGATTAGAAGTAGTATATATTAGTGTTATCTCAGTAGGGTAAGTGGAACAGCAGTGTTGGATCCTGCCTGATGAAATTAGCATAAGGCCTAGTTTGGTTCTGTCCTACACACTGTGCAAAGAAGTATTCCCTTATGAAAGGCATCCTATGAACATAATCGGCTGTTGCAGAGTTCTAGCACTGCAAGTGAGAGACAAACTCCTCTGTTCTGTCATTTCTGTTGAGACTCATCTGGCTAGGAGCCTCTCACAGGTTCTGATCATGCTACAATTCCTAGAACTCCAAACCATGACCGTTAAACATACACAATTGTTAATGCTCATGTTTATTGTTGGGTACATTATCAGCACATGTGAGCTAACGAACAATATGCCTCCCAGAACAAGCTCTGGAATCTTTTACAAATGTGCTACAGCTTCCTTGGAACATGTAAAAGGGCTGTCTGATGAATAAAGAAATGTGGGAAAGACAGGAAACACTTCTCTAAGCTACAAGATCACTGCCTGACCCAACATATACACTTACCCATCCTAATTTGTGCTGTTTGAAGAATATGGGAGTCCATGACCAGTTTAATGCCAGTTGTCCTGCATATAGTCCAAGTGGAACCATGGATTTTTCATTGAAGCCTCCCAATTCCTTCCATATCAGGTAAGAAGCATATCTAAAGGAAAAGAAGAAGATGTCAGTGTAAGGAAATGAGCCTGGAAAGAGGGCTTTAAAAATATGATCTTGCAAATGGCACAGAAGTCCTAATCTCAGAATGCTGAAATCATGAAATTTCAACAAAAGAAATAGTTCAATTTTTGGCTTGGCCTGCAGGACCCATTAGGGATCACTGAAGTCATACTGCCTTATTCTTTCTCTCTGCAAAATGTGCTTTTGAAACGACACAGTTTTCTTTAAAATACTGTGCACACAATTGTAAATCTTGATGCAAATAATCCTGGATAGCTCCTGCCTACTTCAAAATGACATTTCAAATGGCAATATACTCTGCAACCATCATTAACTTCTTTGTATCCTTTGTAACTGCTCTGAAAGATAGATATATGTTGCCTCGGCACCCATGATTTCTTCTACATTTCCATCTTTCTAAATTGCTCACCAAATCAATACCATAAAATGCAAGACCTGGAATTTCAGTAAAACATAGATTTAAAGTCTAATTGTGCTACTAAAAATGACCAAAAGAGCAGACCCTGTTACATAAGCACTGGTAATTAGTGATCAACAGAGATCAGAGGAAATTCTGCTCAAATTTCCCTCCGCCATTAAATCTGCTAGGTGACCTTATGCTGGTTACAAATTTACAGTCAAGCTGCTCTGACAAACAGGTTGAGGTTTTTGGAAGAACAATGAGACAAATGCATAGGTGGTAAATGAAAAAGCATGCATTAAAAGGAAAGATAAACCTTTCAGAAGAAGTGCTCCTGATATAATGTACAATTTTTGCTGCTTTTGTAAAAATTATAAGCAAAATTTTCAAACATTTCTTACTTGCTTGCTAAAAAAATACTCTATTTTAAAACAAATGCGTTTCCAGTGTCTTCCACTAGGTGGCACTTGAACTCATGCAAAGCATTCAGCAGAGCTCAACCCTCTATTCCAAACAAGCAGAAAAGCTCAGCTCCTTCCTGCTTTTGATGTTCAGTATAGCCAAAGAAGCACAGCAGGGGTTGGGTGCAAGATTCCAGCTTCCACTACACTTGCCTGTAATGCAAACATAAAAGGGCAGGGCTATGGCACAGCCTTGCCAGAAGCTGGTTTGCACTTGCAAGCTGTATCTATCTCACTCAACGGCAGGATGTTCTCCAGGTGGTTCACACATAAACATTAAATCAATGAATTGTAAAAATAAAACACAGACACAAAATCGGCAAAGTTAAAAAAAGCATTGTAACAAAACCAGCAACAGAAAACAAGAATGCAAATAATTTAAGCTCCAGAACTAAGAAGCCTAAGGGAAAAAGGTCTTCACTTAGCATTAAAAAATATTGCAAAGCAGATGCAAGGTGAGGCTTCCTAGGGAAGAAGGCATTCCATAATTTGTGGACAGCCAGTCAAATACCATCCTCCCTCACTTCTTATGTCTTTCTATACTTGCACTGCTGTAAATGTTAATATTGGCACCTTGGATTGGGCCCAGAAACAGACCGCAAAATAGGAAGCACCAACATCATGTAACAGTCACTGCTACAGTCTTGCTGCTTTATCTTGAATCACATGAAGTTCCCAGATTACTGGGGGATTACTACAGCATTGGCAATTGTAGCAATAGTGCCTGTTCAATTAGGATCACAGCTGGTATATCAGTCCTGTGGGATGGCGTAGACACTGTCTCACCCACTACAGGAAAAGGCGGAGTCCCGGCTGCAATCTTGGAAAAGTGGAACTCCACCTTTAGAAGGAGTCCCTTTCCACTGTCTCAGTAAGTATGGTTTTTTTCTACACCAAAGCCTCAAGTGCTGAGGAACCAATTCAGGGGAGATTGGAAAGGACCAGGAGGGATGTAAGTGTCTTTGAGGGCAAAAGAAGTATGGAGGCAGCCCTCACCTCTGCGCTCTCCTGCATTCAACTGGATGCCCATAATCCTTCAGACAGCCAGTTTTAAGACCAAGCCCTAGGTAAAATGGTGTGAGTTCTGCGATTCCATGGAAGAATCCATCTTACTAAGAAACTTTTTTCATCTTTTAAAATAAAAAAGCAAATATCTAGTCCAGTGGTTTCCAACCTTTTTCTATGCCCCGCACCTCTATAAAATGTTTGATTTATGTTCACACCTCCTATAAAAGCAATATCACACTTGAAGACGAAGAAGTCAAATTTCTAATTTTTGGACCACAAATTGATCCACGTACAGTACTGCAGGTGAACAAATTGAACTCAAAAAATAAGCTTTTAATTCAGTGCATAAAATACAAATATAAATCAAATATAAATTGAGCAATTAGAAAAAAATATAAACAGTAAAGTCTATCCCAATTGTGAACATGACATTCAGTGACTTCTTTGTCCCTGCTTCATTCACAATTTTGCCAAAATGTGGAGCTTTTTTGCTGACTGCAATCCACAAGTCTGCCTACAGGCAATTCCTAGATTTTGCCTTAATTGACAAAAGACAAATGAATCTAAATGCAAACAAAATAATAATAAAATAATTTTATTATTGGGATGATTTTTGGCAAAAAACATTGCAGCCTTCCTCTTTGTTGCACCTCCTGAAATGCCATCTTATACCCTTTTGGGGATGCAGGCGCCCCACATTGGGAACCCCTGACCTAGTGCATATAAGAAAATATGTGAATAAGCCTGTTTAAATCTCTACATGTAGACAAGGGCCCCCAATTCACTTACAGCATTTAATAAAGTGCAGCATGTGTGCTGGATAAATAACTAAGCAACCAAGTAGAAGACTACTTACCCCATCGACGTATACAAAGTGCCCCACACAGGTGCAAACACATAGTTAGGTGGGAACCAGGACGGCTTCTCCAGGGTTTCATACCAAGTGGGAATTTCTTTCTTGACGATCCTAGCTCCCAAAATGCTTCCAACATGGGGCAAGAGCGTGAAGCCCACCACTGGGGTCCAGGATGGTACCACTTCCATCAGGGCTGCTGAAATACAGGCACAAACACACACACACACCAGATGAAAACTGGCCTTGCAACAGGCAGTTGTGCTCAGGTCAGGAACATACTGCTGGTGGACAAGACATACAACATTCAGTGCTTTAAGCTCTAGTCAGCAAGCTGTGAGATGAAAGTCCTGTTGGGAACGGAAAACGGGGGATGGGGGTGCTGAGTCAGGCCAGACCAGGCTTTCCAGGCATCACACTGCAAGGAAAATTATCTCTGGCAACACTCTTGCCATGTGACCCTTTTCCTGCTTTGATGTCTGTAGTGGGGAAGGCGGAATGCTTCTCCTGGGCTCTGTAACAGCTACCTGCAAACAGAAGAACAAAGTGATGACAATGTCACTTGAAAGTATGGTGCATGGGAGCACACGCCTGATTTTCAAGAAAGGTATCAGCTTTTTCCCCTTCATGGATCACTGCCTTGTTCAGGCGGAGGGGCTTGTATAGCTCAATGAAGCTATGAACTATGCCGTGCAGGGCCACCCAAGATGGACAGGTCGTAGCAGAGAGCTATGAAAACTAAGATCATGGCATCTGGTCCTCTCACTTTCTGGCAAATAGATGGGGAAGAAATGTAGTTAGTGACAGATATTTTCTTGGGCTCCAAGATCACTGCAGACAGTGAATTCTAAGAAATTACAAGATGCTTACTCCTTGGGAGGAAAGTTATGGCAAATCTAGAAAGCATACTAAAAGCAGTGACATCACCCTGCCAACAAAAGTGTGTATAGGCAATGCTATGGTTTTCCCAGTTGCAATGTATGGCTGTGAAAGCTGGACCATAAGGAAGGCTGAGCGCAAAAGGATTGAGGCCTTTGAATTGTGGTGCTGGTGGAGACTCCTGAGAGTCCCTTGGACTGCAAGGCGATCAAACCGGTCAGTCCTAGAGGAGATCAACCCTGACTGCTCTTTAGAAGGCCAGAGACTGAAGATGAAACTCAAATACTTTGGCCACCTAATGAGAAGGAAGGACTCCCTGGAGAAGAGCCTGATGCTGGGAACAATAGATGGCAAAAGAAGAAGGCGACGGCAGAGAATGAGGAGGCTAGATGGAGTCACTGAAGCAGTTGGTGTGAGCTTGAGTGTACTCCGGGGGATGGTGGAGGACAGGAAGGCCTGGAGCAATGTTGTCCATGGGGTCATGATGGGTCGGACGCAACTTCGCAACTAATAACATCAGCTTTTCAAGCTTCTAAGGCCACTGCAATAGCAGCAAACTTGGGGGAAGGAGCAGCAGGAGAGGCTACAAAAAAGCCACAGGGCTGTTCTTGGCATGCAGGCCACACACTGCACGCTCCGGCATTCAAGTTCCATCTGAAAGATACTGGAATCTGTCTTACTGAAGTCATTATCACAGATGCTTGGTTTACCATTCCCAAAACTGTGAATGTATGTCAGCAAAGATCACATGCCTCTTCTTCATAGCAAAAATGTTATAAAATAAACATACAGAGTTGAGAAAAAGACCTTAATCCCACAGTTCCTTTGCAAACCTACGTACACGAAATCAACCCCTTACCTCTTAAAAGTGCCAAGTTTCAAAAAATGTCAATGAATAGAAAAAACTTGTTGGGAGTGGAATAGATCTTCACAAGAAGCTAAGTTAGAACAGAGCAGCAAGCAGTAAAAATGAAAGTGAAATCTTTTGAGCAGAATATGCCAAAAATCTTTGGATCTTTTAGTGTATAGCCTGAGGTTTAGCATATTATTATTTCTCTGGAGGAAAAAAACCCTATAATGATGGCAGGGCATAAAAGAGACCCAGTTTGGGAATATTGCAGCGAGGCGGTGGCGGGCATGCATGGGGCAAGGTTGGTGGCAGCGGGCACAGTGAGTCCAAAACCTCTGAGGCGGGCTGGATAAATGGGCATAGTGGGCCGGATCTGGCCCACGGGCAATAGTTTGAGGACCCATGGCCTAGATATTATGATGCTGCCAGGAATTCTTGGAACAAAACTGAAGTTTGCCAAGATGCTCAAGTGTATCTTCCTCACAGTTACTCTTCAGTGACTTGCAACTGAATGGGAGAAGAGGTTCTACCCAAGGTTCCAGCCTTGTGGCTTTTTGTGGCCATCTGGAAGGTTTTGTAGTGTTCTGTTTGGGATATGCACACAAGTCACAGATGCAACTGGCACCTCAGTCTTACAGTTATCCAGTGAATGTGCCTATGCAAACCTACATTTTTAAAACAGAACGTGTGATTAAATGAGGCTTTTTTCCAAGAGTAGAGTGAAAGGGGAAATGCTTTCCGCTTCTGGAGAGAGACTGAACAGCTTCGTGGGGAGGAAGAAAGAGGAGGTTGAAATAAGAAAAAGATGGAAAGAAAAGGATGGAACTGAAGAGTTTTTAAACTTCATGTATGTATTGTATGTATTATTCTGTTTGTAGGGACTGCGGGTGGCGTAGTGGTTTAAACTGCTGAGCTGCTCGATTGGTTGATCAAAAGGTTGACAGTTCGAATCCATAGACAGGGTGAGCTCCTGTGCTTTGTCCCAGCTCCTGCCAACCTTGCCATTCGAAAGCATGTAAATGCAAGTAGATAAAAAGGTACCACTTTGGTGGGAAGGTAAACAGCATTCCATGCACTTCGGTGTTTAGTCATGCCGGCCACATGACCACAGAAACTGTCTGCAGACACACGCTGGCTCCCTTGGCTAGGAAACGGAGATGAGCACCACCCCCTAGAGTCAGACATGACTGGACTTTAATGTCATGGGAAAACCTTTACCTTTACCTTAATTGTGTTTGCATCCTGCCCTTCACAGTGTCTCAGTGCAGTGATATGGAACATAAGTGTAACAAGGCATATACCATTTGATTGGAACTGAAATACCTTGCCTAATGTATGCTAGTCCACAAAAACACAATTCAGAAATGTAGGATTTTACTGTGGCTATGTTTTAGGAAGTAATGTGTATCTGTACTCTGGGTTGTAAATATTTTGAAAATTGCCATGCCATTGCTAATATCCATGCAGATGAAAGTCAGTGATTATTACAGTACTACTGCAAAGTTATCATTATGTCCACCCTGCAAAATTGCCAATGTTGCTACATACATTTTGCTAGATGGCAGAAGAAGTTAGAGTATGAACACCTTGGAGCAGACTGCAGTTACCAAACCTCTTCTTCAGTTGGGTTGGATTTTCTGGAGGAGCAAATGAAGGCCAGCTGTGATGTCAATTGTAGTAGCAGTGCCATTTATTTAAGACTGGAGAGAGCGAAGGGAGCTAGGGAAAGAATTCCAGCCACAGATGCTTCTTACAACAGGTCTACTCACTGAGAAACAATAGAAGGGTAGAGGTAATTTCTTCTACAGGCTAGGACCCCTGCTGCTCAATCTACAGATCAGTCTCTGATGCTATTTACATACTCCCACTGTCCACCCTGGAGAAGGAAATGGCAACCCGCTCCAGTATCTTTGCCATGAAAACCCCATGGACCGTACCAAAAGGCAAAAAGATATGACGCCGGAAGATGAGCCCCTCAGGTCGGAAGGTGTCCAATATGCTACTGGGGAAGAACAGAGGGCTAGTACTAGCAGCGCCAGAAAGAATGAAGCAACTGGGTCAAAGCCGAAAGGACACTCAGTTGCCGATGTATCTGAAGGTGAAAGGAAAGTCCGATGCTGCAAGGATCTTTACTCCATAGGAACCTGGAATGTAAGATCCATGAATCAAGGCAAGCTGGATGTGGTCAAACAAGAGATGACAAGACTGAACATTGACATCTTAGGAATCAGTGAACTAAAATGGACAGGAATGGGTGAATTTAATTCAGATGACCATCAGGTATACTACGGCGGGCAAGAATCTCTCAGAAGAAATGGAGTAGCTTTCATAGTCAATAAAAGAGTAGGAAAAGCAGTACTGGGATACAATCTCCAAAATGACAGAATGATCTCAGTTCGAATCCAAGGCAAACCATTCAACATCACAATAGTCCAAGTCTATGCCCCAACCACTGGTGCTGAAGAGGCTGAACAGTTCTATGAAAGCCTACAACACCTTCTAGAATTAACTCCAAAAAATGATGTCCTTATCATCATGGGGGATTGGAATGCTAAAGTAGGAAGCCAAAAGTTAACTGGAATAACAGGCAAGTTTGGCCTTGGAGTACAAATGAAGCAGGGCACAGGCTAGTAGAATTTTGTCAAGAGAATATGATGGTCATAGCAAACACTCTTTTCCAACAACCCAAGAGATGACTCTACACATGGATGTCACCAGATGGTCAACACAGAAATCAGGTTGACTATGTGCTCTGCATCCAAAGATGGAGAAGCTCTATACAGTCAGTAAAAACTAGACCAGGAGCTGACTGTGGCTCAGAGCATGAGCTTCTTGTGGCAAAATTTAGGCTTACATTGAAGAAAGTAGGGAAAAGCACTAGGCCACTCAGGTATGACCTAAATCATATCCCTGATGAATATACAGTAGAGGTGACAAACTGATTTAAGGAATTAGATCTGATGGCCTGAGTGCCTGAAGAACTATGGACGGAGGTTTGCAACATTGTACAAGAGGTAGCAACTAAATCCATCCCAAAGAAAAAGAAATACAAGAAAGCAAAATGGCTGACTGAAGAAGCTTTACAAATAGCTGAGGAAAGAAGGGAAGCAAAAGGCAAGGGAGAAGGAGAAAGATACACCCAATTGAATGCAGAATTCCAGAGAATAGCTAGAAGAGATAAGAATGCCTCCTTAAATGAACAGTGCAAAGACATAGAAGAAAACAATAGAATAGGGAGGACCAGAGATCTCTTCAAGAAAATTGGAGATATGAAGAGAACATTTCATGCAAAGATGGGCATGATAAAGGACCAAAATGGCAGGGACCTAACAGAGGCAGAAGAGATTAAGAAGAGGTGACAAGATTACACAGAAGAACTATACAAGAAAGAGCTTAATGTCCCTGATAACCACGACGGGGTGGTCACTGATGTCAAGCTGGACATCCTGGAATGTGAAGTCAAATGGGCC